AAACTGCCCTTCCTCCACTATTTGGTTACTCTGAGGAATGTTCACATATGAAGGAAAACAAAACAACAACAAAACCACCCTTGATTTTACCAATTTAAAAATACTTCCTTAGTATTCTCTAGGGATGATTAGAAAGAGTTTTTGTTTATATATATCCTACAGCTTATAGATTTAAGCCTACTTGGGATTTTCCAACCTATTTCAGTAATCCTCTTCAGTGATACTCAAGACTGTCCCGGGCTTTGTCTAGTGGAAGTCTCTTCAAATTGGCTGTGGGAGGCTTTTTAGAGAATTCCACTCTTCTTTGTCATTCTCTTTGCCTTCTGGTATAACCTGATGCTTCAGACTCATCCTATACATCTGCTCCAGAATCAGCAGTTCTCTAACCACTACACCAGCACCAAGAGATGGAATTCAGAAACTGAGCACAAGGGCTGCTGGCTGCTACCGGTTGGCCATTATTTCTAACCTTTCAGTAGACAAGGCTGGGAGCTATGTGAAAGAAGGAAGAAAGGAAGAAAAGAAAAGAAATACCATGAGGTGATATTGACAAACAAATTCAGACTATAGAATTTTTTTCTGCCCTGTTCTGCTGATTGAATCCAGTGACTCTACCATGGAGTTACACTCCCAGCCCTTTTTATTTTATTATTTTTTGAGACAGGATTTCCCTAAGTGGCCAAGGCTGTCCTTGAACTTGTGATGGACCCTCTTGTCTTAGCTTCCCAAGTAGTTGGGATTACAAGGTGTGCCACAGCATTCCCCAGGACTACAGAGTTTCAAATTACCTTCCTCTGTTTTAACTCTTTCTTTCCAGGTTTTCAAAACACCAACCCAATTACTCATTTACCTTATCATAAATTTGATCAAATAAAAACACTAAATATTAGCATTAACAAAATGATTACTAAAAACAATTTAATATTTTTTAAAAACTTATCTGTTTTGAAAGTATATTACATTAGAAATGTATATTTAAGCCAGGCAATCCCCAGTACCAAAGAAAGAAAGAAAGAAATGTTATCATCCAATCACTATGTTTTAACATTATTAGGAATGATTTCTTTCTAAAACACGATTTGTTTCTCTACATTTAATTTGATGTTTTGAGATTGTTCCTTGAAGTTTAACTTTGATTTAAATTATGTAAAATACTTACATGGCTCCAAAACTACATCTGTGAAACAAACAAAAAATTCAAAGAAGCCTAGCTTTCATCTTTATGCTTTGTACCTTGTGTCCTCTATCACTTTCTCTTCAGGTAACTATTTTTAAAAATGTATCCAACCACTGTTTTAGTGTAAGGATATATACATCCATTACACATGTGTATGCATGTAAGTTGAAAATAATGTAAGTCAAAATGCACTTAATTCATCTAATCTACCAACATTCTAACTTAACACATACACTGGTGAGTACTGTTTGTTTCCTTTCATGATTGTGTAGCTGACTGGGAGCTGTGGTTTGAAGTACTGGCCACATGGTGAGAGGACTGGACCTGATGTCACAAGCCTGGGAACAGATCCAATTCAAAATATTTGAAAGATGGTTTCTACTGGCTGTGTATCACTTTCGTTCCATCATAAAGGTGAAAAATCTAAATTGAACTACTTAAAGTTGGAGACTGTATTTTTAACTCAGCATTTTTGTTTTCATGGTTATGTATATTCCAATTCTTTATGCAATAACCTTGTATATAATACCTCCACTTTTTCAGCTATAGTTTATTTGTTCTCTACATAAAGAATATATTAGGTGACCATCTTTTCTTTCTCTAGTCTTTCCTTATTCCTCAGGATCTAATTTGAAATACTGTCTATTATGGATTGGGCCTTAAACGTCTTCTCATAAGCTCATGTGTTGAAGCCTCATCTCCAGCTATTGGAAGGTGGTGGAAACTCTAGGCGATGGGGTCTTGCTGTTCACTGGGATGTGCCTTTGAAAAGTATTTTTTCCCAGCCTCTATCTGTCCCTTTCCCTTTGTTCCCTGGTGAATAGGAGGTGAGGAACTCTGTACCACCCATGTGCTTGCTGCCATGACATTCTGTCTTAACACAGGCTCAGAACCAAAAGAACCAAGTGACCGTGGACTAAAACCTCTGAAATAGTAAGCCAAAATAAAGCTTCCCTTTAAATTGTTTTTCTCATGTATTTTTTTCCCACAGTGACAGGAAGTTGACTAATACTAATATTTTCAGTTAATATTTATGAGGCAACCAGCAAGGGAATCCTGCTTTTCATACACCTTCCCATCTCCTTCCATTTGCTGATAATTATGCTGCGTCTTCACTGTTAGAACACGGAGCCACTGCATGTCACACTGTTCTTCTTCTACACTGTTCAGTCTTAATTCTTTAGCTCAACATATCTTTAATGCTTACCAATTCACTTTTTAAAAATATTTTTTAGTTGCCAGTGGATTTTTTACTTTATTGGTTTATTCATATGTGGTGCTGAAGACCGAACCCAGGGCCTCACACGTGCCAGGCAAGTGATCTACCACTGAGCCACAACCCTTACCAATTCATTTTACGAGAGAGTCTCCAAACATTGAAATTCAGTCTGTTGGAAATGCTCATTTGAGCAGTATTTCCAGAGT